GGGGGGGAGAACACTGGATCCAGCCAATGGACACAACACATGTACCACATGGAATTCTCGGGACCAGAGTAGCTGAGTGAAGGCCCTAACATAACCACAAAACAAATTAGCTCCAACATGATTTATGCCTCCTGACCCTCAATTTCTGTAGGCCAGAAGTCAACTGAGTGGTGAGTGAAATCTGAGCAAAGCCTCCAAGAGGAGGAAGATGCAGTTTCTTATTGAACTACAAATCTTTTAGTCTGATTTTTTCATTCCAAAATGAGCCAATAGACTGGCTATGTAATTAAGCCTTTCCTAACAAGGTCTCCTCTGCATCGTCCCTTCCTTTCCGGTCATCAGGCAGCGATTTAAACCAGATGTCACATGGCACAATCGCACCATCAAAATTTTAGACTTGGTCTCACACAGTGTAGCACTGTCTCTCAGGGTACAGGGGAGACCTACAAGGTTCCAGGTTTCAGCATCAGCCGAAGCCTTGAAGTTACCTGATTGACTGCAATATATGAAATACACACAAACGACAGAAGTTCAGAAACTCTCATCTTCAAATGATTTCCTCACAGAAAAGATTACTTTGATAAAAATAAATGTACCACTTGTGAAACACAATGTATACGAATGAAACACAATGCATACACATCCTGTATGCAAATCAATGAAAAATTTTTAAAAAAATGTCTTTTCATTGCTAGGCTTTCACAAAAACTTAAAATGAATCACCTTCGTTTAAAGTTTACCAGTGAGATGCTGGCTTTTCATTCACCTTCAGTCACAAAGCAGCCACAATCCTAAATACTGTGGGTAACTGACAAAGAGCGCTTTTCAAGAATGTGATTTGGGGGGGGGGAAATTATTTTCCACTCTCAGGAAATGACTATAATTATGAAAAGACATGGAATCCAGCTAACGTCTACCCAGTCGGCATCTCTGTTCATCTCCTAGTAAGTGAGAAGACATTCCCTGAACAGATGAAAACCTCAAGCAAGCAATCAGCACCATCACAGACTGAACATAGTCGCTGCTGATCCCAGCCATTAAGAAGGAAGGAGGAACTGCAACTACAATCCCAGAGGCGCATGGTTCAAATCCACCAGATGCTCTGCCGGGGAAGGAGGGACAATCTCTTCCTGTACCAGTCAGATCTGATTTGACGGTACGCTCACACAAAAATAATAAAAATTAAAAAAAAAAAGAAGAAGGAAGGAGGAATGAAGTCTCACCGTTTGCCGTGTCCTTTTTAAAGTTATCCAGGAATTCCTCCAGGAGCTGGGACTGGTTAGCAGGGGGCAGCAGGCTCCTCTGGTCGGTGGCAAGCAGGTCACTGTCTGACCAGGAAGTGCCCAGGCTTCCCTTCATGGTCACGGGCTGAGCCACCAGCTTGAGCTCCACGCTCTTCTCAGAAAATAGGGCCTCCATCTGCTTCAGGTCAAGGTCAGCCACGGCTTCTCCATTTAAGGCGACGATCTCATTGCCCTTTCTCAGTCCTGAGAACAGGGAAGGGGAAATGGGAAGACGAAAAGGAAACAGAGGAGATGTCTTGGAGAAATATTTCCATCTGAAAGAAAGCTGGAGCCAGCCACTCTCTCTTAGGGGCCCCTGATGCTCTTTGAAGGAAGGAAGTATCAAACCTCAAGTATTTAGATGCTACTGATAACAAGATGAGGGTTAGTCCTCTGGAGGCTGGTCTGAGAAGAGGCCTTTGAAAGGGAAATAATTTAGGAGCCACTGAAATTGACTGTTGTATTTATACACTGTTCTCTGTCCTGATGTTATACGCCATCAAGCCATAACAGACTTATAGACGGATAACCCTCTAGCACGCTTTCAGAGGCTGCATATCACACGTGGATACTGTTCATCTTACCCCCTCGGGGCAGCTGGTGGATTCAAACCACCTTTCTTAACACAGGGCCACCAGAGCTCCCTATAAATATAAACATAGATACATATAAACACACACAGACACACAGACACACACACACACACACACACGTATATATGTACATATATACACATGGGTGTGTATAGATACATATGCTTTATCTCTCTTTTCTAGACACGTAAGGCTTTCTCTTTCTACCACATATGCATACACACACACACACACACACACACACACACACACACACACACTCTCTCATAATACACAAGCACTCTGCACTCACACATATATGTATTCTCAACTAAATTGTTTTATTTTCTTTCTTCGCAATACCAGGGGAAAGTGTTCAGACCAATTTCTAAGAAGTAAAGTTCTCCAGCGACACTGTATTCCTAAGTTTTAAGCAGTAAAGAAACAAGCATGGCCCCCTCTGCCCGCCACACTGACCTTCCCCATAAGCCAAGCTGTCCGGCAAAACATCGCTTATAAATATGCGGCTGAGATGCTGATGGTCGTCCACCTGGGCTGTCACTGCAAAGCCTACAATGGAAACAAAAGTCAAGGTCAAGTTCATCATGCCCTTTCAGCGCTCCAACCCCCAGCAGGAGGATTTCCTTGACCCCCTAGTCTGTGGATTACGGTATGTTGAGAAAACTGACATGACACCTATTTTGAAAGTGTCTGGCAAGAACTGCAAAAGAGGAAGATTTCAGAGCCAAAGGTTTGAGAAATATGAATGTGCAACTGTATTTAAAAAAAAAAACTGAGACCAACAGATTCATTTACTGAAATAAATTCAATTTCATTCAATCCTGTAAATATATACTGATAACTAAACGTACAGAGGTGGAAACTTCATAAAGAAGCCTGATTGCACAACAGTTAGGTTTGGCTACTGACTGAAAAGTCAGCGGTTCAAACCCACCAGCCCCTTCACAGGAGGCAAAGAGGCAGCCCGCTCTGTAAGATCATGGTCTTGAAGCCCTGGGGCTCTGTCCAACAGGGTCACCGTGAAGTACAATCACCTTGAGGCCAAGAGGTTTGGACTAGCTTTTGGGGGTGATTTTTTTTTAAAAAAATAGGAAAATCAGCAAGATGCAGGGTTGGCCCTAAAAAGAGATACATGCAAACCCCCATCCGTTCTGCACGCGTCTCCTCAATTCAGTGCCCCTCCTCTCTGTTTGCACAGCTAGGGTGGATGCATCCATGTCTTGACCATAATACCGGAGTTCTTTGAGAACATGGGGTGCATCCCATCCTCTCACGTCTCCTCTCTGCCACCTATGACTTTTCCCCAGACTTCCAATGCTTTAAATCTTAATGGGAGAAGACTGTCGTTACATCTTGGAGTGGCTGTGATGTGAACTACCAACCTCTTGGTTAGTAGCCCAACACAGAGCCCACTACAACGTCAAAGATATAGAAGACCAAAGAGGTCAAAGCGCATGAGTTAAATGCAATGAATAGGCATGACTGTACTTGCTATGCATCAGAGAGCTGGACAATGACTAAGGATGATGGAGGAAGAATCGATGCCTTCAAGTTGTGGTGCTGGAGAAGAGTCTTGAACATACCATGGACAGCCAAGAAAATTAATAGGTCTGTCTTGGAGAGGGTGAAACCAAGTTTCTCCTTGGAGGCTAGGATTCTAAAGCTCCACCTCACATATTCTGGGCATGCTGTCAGGAGGGACTGGACCTTGAAGAAGGGCATCATGCTCAGAAGGGTGGGGGGAACATGGCAGAGGAGGAAGACCTCAGATGATACAGATTGATACAGTAACTGAGGCAATGGGGGGTAGATGTATTGGAGACAGTGAGATGGGACAGGGCAGGCTTCAGAGCTGCTGTGCAGAGGGTCACTATGGGTCAAAGGTGACTCGACGGCACAAAATAACAAACAGCAATATAAAACACAAACTACATGTGCAAAACATGATGTAGATGTATCAATCTATGCAAGCAAATAAAAAATTATTTAAAAGAAAGTATTAAAAAATTGTGAGGCTGGTACAGGCTAGAGAAAGGTCTGGATCTGTCGTTCACAGGTTGCTAAGAGTCGAAGTTGACTCGAGGGCTCCTAAAATAAGACATATCAAGCCTATGAAAATTGCACAGCAAATCACAGATAAACTATCTAAATTTTGCCTCTACATATATTTCAAGTGTTTTCTGTTTCTTCTTATTTTAGTGCTAACTGGAGATTAGAAGAACATGTGATTGGATAGGAAGGCAGAGTTTATATAAATATACTTGATAAGAGTCAATGCAAAATCTGTAGATACTAGAAGTGGGAGGAATCCAGAGTTGTAAAATTAACTACAAATATGGGGTAAGCAGAAATGAAACTAAAAAAAAAAAAAAAAGTCTGCACATCTCAAAAAAATGTAATAAAAATAAAATCTGAAGCTTCGTCTGACATACTTCAGATATGTTGTAAGGAGAGGCCGGTCCTTGGAGATGGACATCATGCTTGGGAGAGTGGAGGGACAGCACAGGAGGGGAAGGCCTTCTATGAGGTCGATTGACTCAGTGACTGGAGTAATCAGGATGGGTGTGTAAGAGGCAGTGCGATTGGCACAGGATAGAGCAGGGTTTTGGGCTTTTGTACATTGGGTCGCTATGAGTCGCAAACGACTAGACAGCACATAACAACAACAACAATCTATGTCTTTGAATTCACATTTATAAATTGTTGGATCTCAACAACTATGACAAAAATTAAATAATAACCAAAAAAGAAGTCAAGCTGACCAACACAACCCTCTCATAAGTGACTTCTGTAGGCTCTTGGGACACAGTCACTGTACGGCTTACCTAAAGGCAGCCCCTCTCCAATGGTTCAAATCCACCCACCCTTCCTCATGGGAAAGACGGGCAGCCTGTGGGATTTACTGCCTGTGAACACCTGCTGGAGGGTCTGCTATGAGCGGGTCCTGACTCCACAGCCACGGGTTTTTTTCTTCAGCAAGATATGCTTACCGAAGTCGGAGACACTCTCAGTCTTCGTAAGCTGCACCTCGTAAACATGAAGTGGGAAGAGTTCTATTTCATCGTAAGCCTGCAAAAACGTGCAGACACCAAAATCAGAGGGTGTGAGGTACGCTGTCTTGAAAAATCACTTTGACACTGTTTTCATAACACCACAGGAACACTACCATCAAGTTACCATTTTTCAGGGACTGCTTTCATACTAGATGTCAAATTCAAGGAGGATCCCCCCCACCCCCAGATGTTACGTGCTTGTCTCCCCAGTTCCTTTTCCGCGGCTAACGTGCACTTGCCTGATCTTGCATGGACTCGTACGCCGCGGGCACAAAGCACTCAACGCTCTCGTCCACAAACCTCCGAATCCGAAGGCCATAGTGCCTGGGCTCCAACTGCCTCATCTGTAAAGGAAGGGACATTTACTCAGGTGTTAAACGCTCTCTCTAAAGTCTGCAGCTTCATGAAAATCAGAAATACTAAGTGTAATACTCAGAGCGTAAACCTATGCCTGGGGAGTGCAGGTGGCTTAGTGGTTAAGGACTCGAGAACCACCGCTTTCTTTCCCTTGAGAGAAATTTCAAAAGGTTTCCTTTATGGCACGCTGAGTGTCATTAGAGGCAAGAGTCATAATGTTCCCAGATGATGACCCAACACTCCCGACCAGGGCAGATATCCTACCACCTCCACACAAGTGACACTTCTTTACACACTGATGGCATCCAGATTTTACACTTTCCCCCTAAATGGAGAAGCGTGTAACACTGCGAATCATCTCACATTCTACAGACTCTAGAATGAGGAATTTCCTTCTATAAAGTGTTTTCAAAAGGAAAACTGTGTTCACACATAGACACCCTTACGAACTTGATTCTCTGTCTCATGCACACATTGTGAGTGAGAGAGCACCTCGGGTCTGGGCACTCACTGGAGAGCCCCCGTGTGGTGAAAATGGCTCATGACAGGCCCCGCTGACAACTCTTCAAAGCCGGGGCTCAAGCTCACTCAGAAGGGCCTCGGAAGAAAGTCCTGGTGATGTAATTGCTGAAAACCAGCCCCGCGCTGCTCTGATACGTATGGGGTCATTATGATTGGGTTTAAATGATGTGGCGGCAACTGGTCATCCTCTGTTGTCGTTTTTGTGGTTGTTAGGTCCCATCGAGTCCACTGTGACTCACAGAAACCCCGCAAACAGCAGATCTGAACCCTGTTCTGTCCTGCTCCATCCTTCATGGTCTCTGAGAGGCCTGAGCCCGTGTTATAGTTACTCTGCTAATCCACTGTGCCGAAGGCCTTCCTCTCTTCCTCTGACCTTCCACCTTTCCCGTTATGCCTTTTTCCAAGGACTGACCCCTCCTGAAAACATATCCAGAATATGTGAGATGGAGTTTCGCCATCCTTGTCGGTAAGAAGCACCCCAGTTGTACTACCTCCCAGACAGACTGGTTTGTCCTTTCAGCAATCCATGGGACAGTCAGTGCTCCACCAACACAATTCAATGCTCCAACTCAGACAATTTAACCCGCCACTTATGACACTCTTGGCCAACATTATTCTAGTTGTTGTTGCTGTTAAGTGCCATCGAGTCATAAACGACTCCTAGCAACCCTGTGGACGAAGGACCTGAACAGTTGTATAACTTTCATCCTTTCTCCAAGTTCACAGAGTTTCTTGAGGCAAGCCATTTCAGAAGTGGATGCCACTCCTGCTTCACAGCTTGTTTTAATCAGGGAGCTCCACCAAACACTGTCCACCATGGGTAAACATTATCACATTTAACACATCAGTGTCACAGTGTTCAGCCTCACAGCAACCACGAGTTACTTCTGTACAGCAAATGGACAGACCAACGCTATACCACTTAGAAGAATGTTTGACCAAAAACAATTAAAATCAGACCTGAGAGCCACAGATTAAAATCGTCCACTTTTGACTTGGTCTATCACTTTCTGTCCATCAGGCCCACAGAGCTCTCTTGTTGTTGTTGTTGTTGTTGTTGTTAAGTGCCATCAAGTCGTAGATGACTCATAGTGACCTATGAATGAATGACCTGAACACTTGTATAACTTTTATCGTTTCTCCAAGTTCATAAGGTTTCTGGAGGCAAGCTATTTTTTACTTAACAATATTCTTGCCGGATTGAAAAAAAAAACAACACACCTCATAAAGGAGTAAAAGGAAATTAAGCTCCTAAAACTACAATCTCCATAAATAAATCCAAACACTTCAAAGTTAAGTGACAAGGGAGGACTTGAACATTCTCCACAGATACTACATTACACACACATAGTGAGGAATTACTGGATTCCACATGCTCGCTCATCATTTCATGCATTTGACTGCATTTTCTCTGCAGATGGAAAACTCTCTAAGCTCTCCTATGCCACCTGGTGGTCTAACCGCTGATGTGCTGCTGCTGATGTTAACTTTCACCAAGACTTGGTATGATTGGGAATAAACCCCAGTCTGGATAACAAATCAAACCACAGTCTGGATAACAAATCAAACGACGTCATCTATCAATCCACGAAGCAACTGTGAATGGCATAAAATCAGTTGTTTGCTCTAGAGAAGTTCGGTGAAAAACAATTTAGGATTAAATCAAACTTGTTCAAAGTTTCTGCCATTTTACTGTTGAAAACCAGAGTTACTACAAACTGTCCTTAAGACCAACTATTTTGTCTGACTGATTTGGAGAATTTCATCATTAGTAACATTCACTGCTGTGATGGCCTGCCGAGTCCAGTGGGAGCTGGCCCTGCTACCCACCAGCATCAATGGTGGAAAGAAGGGAAATCTCCTCCCATGTAATCTACAGTCTCGGAAAACTCATGACAGCTCAACTTAATAACCAAGAGTGACTTCAAAATACTGCTGTATTTTGGAAGAAAAACTTTGAAGACAAGAAAAAAAGATATTCAACTTATACAAAAGAACTGACTAATGATGGAGTTGTCCAGGTGGGATGTCATTGTAAAGTTGAGACTAGTAGAATTGTGTCAATATAATATATGTGTCTGTGTGTGTGTGTACACACACACACACACACACACACACGTATATATAAGATTCTCACTACTGGGCCAGTTGTAAGGCCCATGATGGAAAAAAGATTAAAGTTGTTATCAATTACAGCTTGCTCAGCTCCACAATTAACACTCTTAACATCAGCAGTTGGAAAATCAGAAGACAAATTGCATTGGGAAAATCTGCTGTCAGGGACCTCTCCAGAGTGCTGAAAACTAATTATATCAGTCTAGGGACTAAGGTGTGCCTAGCCCAGGCCATTGTCTTCACAATTACTTGCTATGCATCAGAGAGCTGGGCAATGACTAAGGATGACAGAAGAATCGATGCCTTTGAGCTGTGGTGCTGGAGAAGAGTCTTGAACATACTGTGGACCATCAAGAAAACAAACAGGTCTTTGTATGTAAAGTTGGTTGTCATTATATTTTGGAGGAACATTCTTCTAAGTAGTATAGCACTCTTCTGTCAATATTCTGTACTAAGGTAACCTAAGGTTGCTGTGATGACGAATCTTGTGCCATTGGGGTGTCAAGTGTCGTAACAGTTAACCATGGTGGACAGTGTTTGGTGGAGCTCCCAGTTTAAGAGAGGTTTGGAAGCAGGAGTGGCAGCCACTTCCTAAACAACATGCCTCTGGAAGCTCTATGAACTTTAATAAATGTCGAGAGTTATAGAAAGGTTTCAGGCCTTTTGTTCATAGGGTCGCTATAAGTCGTGCTCAACTCAACGGCAGTCAACAACACAAGTGTCTAGAAGGGGGTGAAACCAAATTTCTCCTTGGAGGCGAGGATTTGAAGATCTGTCTCATATATTTTGGAACGTGACCAGGAGAGCCTGGTCCTTAGAGAAGGACATCATGCTCAGAAAAGGGGAGGGACAGTGCAGGAGAGAAAGACCTCAGATGAGATGGACTGATACAGTAACTGAGACAACAGGAGTTGTTGGTGTGCCAGAATTAGAGAGCCAGTGCTGCTGTACGTAGGGTCATCAGATATACAGTCGCAGGCAAAGGTGCTTCATGAAGGCAAGGGGCTATGATCCGAGAGCATTCATACTTTCTCAGAGATGGAAGCATGTCATGTAGAGATGGTAATCGGGATGGGAGTGTCAGAGACAGTGCGACTGACACAGGATAGAGCAGGGTTTAGGGCTGTTGTACACAGGGTCGCTATGAGTCACAAAAGACTTGATGGCACATAACAACAACAATAATGGTATTAATCTAACTTTCATATGCACCAAAGGTGCTCTGAGAATCTAGTGGTAAAAAGCTGTGCTGCGACCCCAAAGGTACACAGTTCAAATACACCAATCTCCTCCTATGCGGTAACTGTTTCTGAAAACTGCTAGAGGGTAAACCGTGGGTTGGTTCTGACTCGACAACACACAGAAATACATGTGACATGCTTTATGATGACAGTCTCTTTACTGTGGTGATCTGGAACCTAGCCCACAGCATCTCCGGAAGATGCCAGTCTCTTGGGGCAGAAGTCCATTACCTTACATGCCAGAGACACAACATCCTCCACTCTGTGCTCCGGCCTGATGGTGACGGTGACTCCGTGGCTGTCGGGAAAGTGAACGTAAGTCTGAATCTCCCACGTGCTGTCCCGGCGAGTGTCGTTGGGGGAGCCGTATCCGTTGAGAAATTCATCCACCTGCTTTCAGACCCCAGAGGAAAAGGCGGTCAGGTCTGACAAATACAGCAGCGAAGCAAGCCGAGACGCTGGCCCCTGAACGAGGCAGCATTTTTCAGGGGGCGCCCTTGCCCTCCCCTCCCAGCTCTGCCCGCCCAGAACCCTCAGGGTTCACCCATCTGGGGTTCCCACCTTCCTTCCATGTGGGCAGGGCTGAGGCCCAGGGGGGTGAGGAGAAAGGTTGCTCACTTATCATCTCACCCTCTATCCGTTTTGCCACTTGGCCTCTTAGACCTCGTCGGAGTTCTGTATCTGTCTGAGGACTCTCTCTGATCCTCTCTTTTGGGGGGTTTGTGGCCAACCAAATCCCCACCCATGGAGACCACATGTATACAGACTAGACCCGATCCATTCAGTTAGTTTTTTCAAAAGCACATTACGAGCTAGTTCTTCTGAAGTATCTCAGCTGGGTGTGAACCCCCAACCTTTCAGCTGCTAGTCAAGTGCATAATTGTATGTACCATCTAGGTAAGCCCCTCCAGATCCACCCTTCAAACTCAAACTCAAACTTACTGCAACTGAGTAAGAACCAACTCATAGCTGGTCCTCTAGGGGGTTTGTGGAGTCTGTAAATTACACAGGAAGAGACCCCCAGGTTTCTTCCTCGGAGCTGCTGATAGGTACGAACCACCAGGGAGTCACGGCTCCTGGCTTAGGGGAACCACACGTACGGACCACACGACCATCCAGGCCCTCCCTAATCCCCTCAGAGTCAGGAGCTCTGGCGGCCTCATGGTTAGAACCAGTGCTGTTAATCCCAAAGGTGTGGGGTTCAAATCCACCGGATGCTCTGCAGGAGAAGGACGAGCAGTCCCCTCCTGTGCAATTTACGCCTCTGAAAACACGTCAGAGGGTGTCATAGGTCAGCTCTGATTCAGTATTTTAACTACAGTGCCACCAGAAAGCCAATCTTTGTATGTTGTTGTCAGGTGTTGTGAAGTCTGATTCGTGTGACCCCACAAACAACAGATGTGAACCCTGTCCTATCCTGGGTCACCCTTACAATCTTCAGAGCCCAGTGCTGCAGTCACTGTGTCAATCCACCTGCTTGAAGGTCTTCTTTTTCACAGCCCCTCCACCTTTCCAAGCATGATGTCCCTCTCCAAGGAACAGGATATTAAAACCAAGAAGAGAGGTGTCAAAGAAATTCAGTAGAGTTGTTACTGTGATGTGATTTCGAAAAGCCTTTGATTCACAGTGACTCTATGAACAACAGCTGGAAACCCTGCCCAATCCCTCAGTGTCCTCACAGTGACCACCATGTTCAAGCCCAAGCTCTGGCCACCTTGTCAGTCCACCTCGTGGAGGGTCTTCCTCTCCTTTGCTGACCCTCCACTTTTCCCAGCATGATCCCAGGACTGGTGTTTCCTAACAACAGGCTCAAAGTACGGAGGACGAAGCCTCACTCTGCTTGTCTTGGAGGAGCTCACTGGCTACACTTCCTCTAAGGCAGATCTGTTTGTCCTCTTGGCAGTCCGTGGGATAGTAAAAGAAACGAGCGTGGATACAGCAAAGACAGTCACAAGAGGAGGTTTCGTAAAAGCGGGGGAGGCATCGACATTCCCATGTCATTAGTTAATATGCTGCTCAGCTTTGAGATGGCACTTCTGGGGCTGTCATCAAGCTGTCACCGCTGACACGTTCTCCTGGCAGGATCATCAGAGCCCCAGAAAAGCCCCACCCCCACCCCCAGTGCCAGCAGGAAAAGAAGGAGCAGCTGCACTCGGGAGCCGGGGTCGGCCCCACTCTGTCCTGACGGGCCGGGTCCCCCATGAATCACGGTTCCCTCTTCCTCCAGCCTCCCAGGACCTTCTTTTTTTTTTTCTTTTAAAATTTTTACAGCATATTCTTCCCATTTCTTCAATGTTGCACATTTCCTCCCTGCCCACCCCTCCTCTTCCCAGTTCACTCTTCTCTTTGAAAAGAAAATTAAAAATTCTATCACTGTTATACAATCCCCTGTGTCCACCCCCCAAGTCCAGTTTACATTTTTTTTTCTGGAATCAAGTCATGAAAATAATATCTAATCATATACTCTGAAAATTGCACTGGAGACCAGAGAAGCCAAAGCACAAGGAAGAATTCAAGATACTAAAGAGTTGAATAGAAGATTTCAAAAGGCAGCAAGGGATGATAAAGCAAAATATTACAATGAAATGTGCAAGGAGTTGGAGTCAGAAAATCAAAAGGGCCGAACTTGCTCAGCATATCTTAAGCTCAAGGAACTGAAGAACAAATTCAAACCTC